AGGGTTCCCTTTGTTTTAGGTAGGTGATTAAATTTATTAATTCTACACTCTTATCACTTTTCTTTGGTCTAATTAACTGATTAAGGTTATGAAGGTTAAATCTATACGAAATCTAAGTTGTTCCCTCTATCATACCTGAAGAAAAACTTCTCAATTTTACTTGTTAATTTTCTTTGTTCTCTAGTTAATTTTTTCTATTCACCATTTTTATTTTTCTTCAAAAAAAATCTCCCCCAAAAATTGCATTTCCATTCATTTATTTTAATTTAAATTTTTATATAGATTTTTAGGACATTTGCATCTTGCATTTAAGATTGGAATTTTGCATTTTAGTTTAGGCCTATTTTATTTCATTTTTTTTATCACATAAATTTTTATGTAAAGAAACTCATAACTTGCTCCTTAGAAGTAATGACCTAGATTGATCCTAAACTATAAATTAATTGGGATCTAGTTTAATTGAGTGCTTTAACGACAGAGGCATCATCAGTGCTTTTGCAACAATAACATAAAACAAAATTATAGTGACCAATAAAAATATTGACTTACTAGCAGCAAATAAAGACGCTTTCCAATATTACAAGTGCCTTTCTTCTTCTTCTTCTTCTTTGTCATTTTCACAAAGTCTCTCATTTCCTTCCACAGGTTCTTAATTATATATGTTGACCAATCATATTTTCCAAACCCATCCATCGTGTGACGCATCACTTTCAACAAATTTAAATGTACAGTTATGCTTGACCCAGGACATAAAAAAGCTCTAACTGTATAAAGTATAAATAGGAACTCAACATTGTTGTTTTCTGTCCCAGATAATATCCTTTTCAGTATCTGGGGTAAATAGAACCTTCCAATATTTGTCCTTTAACCTCTTATATGTTGGGTCATCCTCACCAATATCATATTTGACTTCCTCCCCACCGTGAGGTATACCTAGAAACTCATAAATATCTTTTACTTCAATTGCCTCCCTTGCCCCCTAATGGTAAAAAAATGTGTTGGTGGGTCATAGGATTTCAACAATGACACTAAGTAGATCATGTGGAAGTTGCTTCACATTCACATTAAGTAAGTTCGCAATCTCATCCTCTCAACTTTCTACCTTAACTGCTTGTTCTTCTTCACATACTCAGCCAATAACTTAAATCCGATCAATGAGCACCTGGTGTACAAAGGAACATCATACTTCTTCTTCTCACCTTTCTCTCTCTTCATTTTGTTTGCCCTCTCATTATACCCATCTCTCTCTTCTTGACTTAGCGCCTTCTATGCCTTCCCCACTTCTATTTTTTCTTCTATTGTATTTTTACACTTCTCCCCTCGTTTTGCCATATAGTCCCTTCTAAACAACACAAGCCCATTTTGTACTCCTTTGCTTGTGGACCCTTCCCCTTCTTCTAACACCATCTCATCTAATTCTGCATAGTCATCAATGTATAATCATTAAGTCATAATTGTTATATATATACTAAATCTCTAGTTCTTTCCAAATATGTTATGGTCATTTCCAGTTCCGTCATTGTTATTATGAATATGGTCAATACAAACTGATAATATGGTTATTACAATGAATATGGTCATTTCTAGTTCCTTTATGGCCATTATGAATATGGTTATTACAGACTGAGAATATGGTCATTACAATGAATATGGCCATTTCCAGTTCCTTCATTGTCATTACCAATATCATCATTACAGACTGACAGTAAGGTCATTAGTACAAATATGGTCGTTTCTAATTAATTCATTGTCATTACCAATATGACCATTATAGATTGACAGTAAGGTCATTACTATGAATATGGTCATTTCAAGTTCCTTTATAGTCATTTACTAGTATGTTATTGTCATTTCCTGTTCGTTCATATAATCTTTCTAGTCAATTAGATAATTTTTCTACTCATTTGAAAACCCATTTTTTCCTAACGTCAAGTTCACAACTTCGTTATAAAAAACAAATAGCATGCCACAGAGACTCAACATAAACCCTTAATCACCATTCCTATCATTCACGGACTTTATCGTGTCATTTCTAAATATTGTTTAATCATTACTTCCCCCACTCACCTAGAAACATCGACCACAGCACGAAACTTAAGTCCCTAAACTTACCTCAGTGAAATGCCGCTGATGCTTGTTAACTGCAATGGTAAATCACCGACCGCCAACTTTCATCCTTCCACCCAATCAGACAGAGGCGATGACGTTCGCCCTTCAAACAGAACAACCTTCCACTTCAAAATCCTCTGCTCTCTTACGTACACACTATTTCGGGGTCATCAACTATCCAACTTGCCGACATTTTTAGGACAGCAATGGGGATGGTGGAAGCGTGAAACTAGGAAGCACGAGTGGCTAGTTTGCGCCTCTCTCTCTCTCTCTCTGCTTTCAAACTCTGACAGAAGGGCTTTTTGATAATTGATCAACATTTGCATAATCCTTCATCAGGCAATACTTCCCAATTTGTCAATACATTTGCTAAGCTTCCTATTTTGGCATTTCATATTTTCAGGTTTCTTTATGTGTCATTGTCCCTCCTCTGTTTTGCTATTAAAATTTAAATCAATATTGGGGAATTTGGGTGAGCCAGTACAAAGGGATACAAATACTCTCTACTCATAAACACAAGACAATTTCAGAGTCACAAAAAAAGAAAAGACAATTTCTGAAAACAGTGTTTCCATCAAAATATAGGTAATCTTGTAACATAAAATATTCCCCCCCCCCCAAATCTATCCTTTTCCTTGTTTAATGTAACCTACATTATAGTTTTGGAAACTCTACCATTATATAGTTAATAATGATAAAATTGGAAAGACGTAAAATTTTCAGAAAAAAAATTAATAACAAAAATAATTTTAAAAAAAGCATTTAGAATAAATTAAACAAAATTCTGTTAAACTTTAAATAACGTACAAATAAAATTATCAACCTTTACAACTAATAAAAAAACCCCCTAATCATTAATTATATGCTCTCTTAAATTTTATTTTCCCATGTATATAACATCAAATTCTGAGTTATACGTGAATAATTTTCCGAAATTTTAAGTTCTCTGCGGACAATTTGCAACTAAATTAATAGCATAAAGATCATATGCATCGACATAATATATGAGAGGGTTTATGGCAAGTTTCATTGATTAGAAAATTTATCTATATATAATGTATCAGTATATAACATAAAATTTAGTAATTAATAATTTAACTTGAAATGCTTGAACTAGTTTATGCTGCCTTTTAGACACCCACAAGTAAACGATGATTTTTAAAAAAAATGCCTAATATATATAATTAGATTAAAGTGCAAATTTATTTGGCAAGCTTTTATTCTTGAGTACTTGACACTTGAAAATTTTTTTATGTTCAATATTATAAGTGCCCAGCGCTGGATTTCAAACTTTAAGAATAATATTAAACTCAAAAAAAACTTTTGAGTGCCTAACATTTTCGAGTGAAAACTCTTCAGACAAATTTGCACCTTAATCTTATATAATTTAGTTAGGATCTTTTTGGAATATTAATCCACCGATAAACTGTACAGATTTTTGGCACTAATATGACCTAATTTATTGTTTCTTGTAGAACTTTATCCACAACTGCTAATACGTAATAACTTTTTGGTTCAACAGCACATGTATCTTCTTTTATAAAGAAGGTTATGAATCCAAGGGGCAGGGTTAAATTGTTAAAATTTAAATTATTCATGACAAGATGCTAATGACAAAACTTTAAACAGTCTAACAAGTAATAATTTCAAAAATAAGACAAATGGCTTTAGAAAGGAGTGATTAGTTGCCAAACATGCTTAATAGAGGTTCCACTTGACCCATGCTTCTAAAAATTGCAACTCATTCGTTTAATATTTATCAATTATCTATTGTGCTTCATAAAATTATCACTTGATTCTTATGCTTCAAAAATCGATTACAGTAATTTAGACAATCACTTATTCGCAAGCCCCATGTGGGGCTAATAGTTTTCATTTCCTATTTCATGGAAAACTTTTTTTGCTCCACTTAGCCCTATTCCCCCTTAGGGGCATTTTAGTGATAGGTTATATAGAAACTGGACAATCCTATTTGGTCAAATACCTAGCGACAAACTCCTATGTTCATTTCATTATAGTATTTCCGAACAAGTTCCTGGATAACAAGGGAGGGGAGGAGGAAGACGAAGAAGGTTAGGATAATCAGCCATATGATCTTCAATCCTATGAAAGTTAGTAAAGCTCATAAAGATATTCAAGGAAGCTATTGAACTGAATCTCTTAAATAACATCTCTACAGAGATGTAATTCATAAAGTATAAAGGGCATCATGCACTTTATATAATTGAATCAAAGTCATTACATTTATTTCATACCTGATTTTTGTCCTTCATTCATTCCTTCTCTGTAAATGAGCAAGGAACTAAAGGAAACTCAAATCAGAAAGCATCATGGCATCTGCTAAAGCACAAATTTTGACTAGTTACCTTAATTGCAAGGAGTGAATGTAGGAATTCCTCCTTTTATCCGGGGGAAAGAAGCTAAAGAAAGTGACCATAAATGAAATATGAACTAATGGGAAATGAAGAAATTCAAAAATTTTCATGACAAACTACAATACTCTGATTACAACTGAACATGTAGCCTAAAGAATCAGAACTACAATACAATCAACCACCTCTACAAGATCTTTAACACCAAACCCTTCTACCATTTATTAACAAGATCTATAATAAACAACAGATATTCTGCATCACGTTACGACTTTCATCTGATATTAAGGCAAATTCTATAATAAACAACAGATCTATAGTAAAAATTGATAGTGCAGATTTACTCCAACAAAAAGTGCAAGAGGAAACTTATATTTGTTTCTAACATAGATGGTGTCAAAAGAAACTACATCACAGAAGTTCATATAGTCATGCCTACATTTAGCATTAATCCATCAAAAAATTTTCAGATGTTGATCCTCACCAATATCTACCGCATAAAAGAGGTTTGAATTCGTACTATGCATCTGCACCAAAAAACTCAAGTAGGAACTTGTCATCCCCTGACTCAAAGCCCAAATTCCAGCTTTTGTCAAATGGAACTTTCTCACTCTTGAGACCAACCACAGTTTTGTATTCAGCAAACTGCCTAGCCATTGCCGCATACATTTTTCTTGTTTGCTCACTGACAGCTTGAGCTGGTAAAAGCTCAGGATCATGCTCCTTCACAAAACTATGTATTACCCATTTTTCATCAAGCCATCTTTTTACACGCATGCTTGCTTTGCAATCAGTCTTTGAACAAGATCTTCCACCAGTTGAATTTTCAGCAACTTGCTTGTCCTGTTGGGCACATGGTCCATTGAATAATTTGTTGTGCTCTCTTTTTGTTCCATACCTGGAACAAGCAAATTTTGCACCTATAAGTTCTCGTGCTAAAGTAGGCTGTTTAAATAGATTTAAATATTAAGCCTAAAAGAGCCTATATGTGTGCAATCTGATGATCTGGATTTTTAAAAGCAAAGCAATCAACCTGGGAAAAAAAAAAAAAATTCTAGGGTGCATAGAACTTTGGATGTGCTTGCAACACTAGAGTGAGGCACCTTCTGCTCTGATCTGATGTCAAGCCAAAGAGGGGGGAAAAAAGAAACCACTAGTTACAACAAGAGTAAAACAATAAATATATATGAAATATATGACTAAAAAATATTAAATTGCAATAAGCCAGTACAACCCAAAAGTTTTTCCAAAAAAAAAAAAAAAAAGACACAAAATTTGGAGTACAGTGACTAACCTTCTTTTAACGTTTCAAGAGACTTTGATGAATAATTCGTCAACATAATTCTTTGCCTCATCGTTCTCACCTTTTTCCAAAAGACGTATAATGAGTGTTTCAAAAGCTACACCATTAGGAAGGCATCCTTTCTCTTTCATTCGATAGAGCAAGGCCTTTGCGTCATCATACAAACCCTCTTTACAAAGCCCTTTGATCATAGCATTATATGTTTGCACATCCAAAGGATGGCCATTTACAAAAAGATGCTGGAAAATCTGTCGTGCATCATTTAACCTATTCCCCACACACAAACCATCAATTAGCATGGTATATGTGTAAGTATCAGGCCGAATTCTTAGGTTAACAATTTGCTTAAATAATGTAACTGCCTGGTGAAGAAGTTGATTTTTGCACAATCCATCCAATAAGATATTGCACAATATCATATTTGGAGCAAGGCCACTAGCATGCATCTCATAAATAAGATCTTGCACACTAGAGATTCTACCTGACTTGAACAAACCATTGACACGGGAACCACAGGTGACAATGTCGGGAGTCAAGCTTTTGTGATGCATTTTTTTAAAAGAGATCCATGACCTCATCCACCATCTTGATTTTACAAAGTCCACTAATCAAAATGTTATAGCTAATAATATTAGGCTCTCCCCCATACTTCATCATCATAGCAACAACTGCTTCAGCTTTAGTTATACCTCCTTCCTTACAAAATGCATTGACCAATATGTTAAAAGTATTAACATTAGGGTTGATGCCTGTAAGTCTCATTTCATTAAACAATTTCGTAGCTTCTGACCATATATGAATGACACAAAAACCATGTATCAAAGAGCTGTATATCACAACATTAGGAGATATTCCGTGATCAATAAGTTCATGAAATAAATCACATGCTTCAGTTATGAGTCTTTCTCTGCAAAAGCCATCAATAATTATATTATACATAACTAAATTAGGCTTCAGCGACCCTTTCGCCATCTTTTGGAGTAATTTAACCACAGCTATTGTTTTTCCGGCTTGCATAATCCATTAAGGTGTGCCATGAGTAACTACATCTAGCAGAAAACCTTTTGCTATCAGATCGTCATGAAAATCTAAGGCCCTCCCAACGTCATTATTGATGCAAAGGCCCTTCATTAGCGTATTCAAAGTAATCGTATCTGGCTGACAACCCATCTTAAGAATTTTGCCTAAGGCAGAGAAAGCAGCAGTCATTTGACCCACAAGGCATAACAATCAATCAAGATGTTCAGCGCAACCAAATCTAGCACGAATCCCTTAGATTCTGCTTGTGCAAAAAGAGAGATAACAGTCAGATGATGCTTCAACTTTGCAAGAACTCCTAAGATCTTACTTATTTGGATTATAGAAGGTGGCGGGCACATATGAAGCATGCGATTAAAAGAAGCAACAGTCTCTTGAATGTCCTTAGGGCTTGTAGAATTGGAATGGAAACAGAAATGGAGAGTCGGGGCATGCGAGAAAGAAAGAAGAACGGGAGTCGTAGGCATTGCAGAGAACAAAGGAAATCGGGAGAAGACATATCATGAAGGAGCTCTGCAAAATGACATCTTCAGTTGAATTCAGAAATTCAGGTCCTTCACCAAAGACTTAAACTGAGAATTCGGCATTCAAGGAGATGCGGAAGACGAAAACGTTCTGGCAACCTCAGAGTCCCATATTCCCTGCGCAAGGCTTTGATCAAAAATTCAAAATCACAAAGGTTCATTGTCCACTGATCTTTTTGATAAAATAACAACCTTCAATGAAGAAGGGAATCGAGTTTTCACAATCTGTAACCATGACAGCAGTAAACCATCCACAGCAGCAATGTCATCAAGGTCTTACTCTCAACATGCTAATGCAACCCCAAATGCTAAATTTTTGAAAGAAGGTTGCTTGCAACATCTGCTTAAAAATTCAACTTTTAAAAGACTGATAGAAACTCAAAATGTTTGAAGATGGGTTTTCAGCAACATTGAAATCACCCCTTTTTTTTTTTGCAATCAATTTCATGGGAGTTGTATTTTTGAATCAACATTGTCCCTTCCACACATATTCAATACCATTCGGTTAACTTTATATCATTTATCTGCTCGTGTCGTAGCTTTCTCTGCCTTTGACTTGAACATCAATAAGGATGGGACAAAATCACATTAATTAAAATGGTGAATGCAGAAAGTTCAGTCCACCACACTAAATAGCAAAAAGATATTCGAACTCAATTACATGCAGTGTTCGAAAACGGAAACCTTAGCAAACAGTGCCCAAGATTGAGAGACTTACAGAATTATTGATGCCTGTCCAAGCCTGAGCGATGACGACGGTGTCCGGCAGTGTCCGAAGTTGGAAGCCGATGAGCACTCTTCTTCCAGCGTCGCGTGCCGTAGAAATGGAACCGAACCATGTTAGGATCTGGCTGACATGGGAATTGAATGTACGGCTAAGATTATCGGAATGGATCTTAAAAAACCTATATGACGTGTATCCTTCTGATCGTCGGATCATTTGGACGGGCAGGATTGAGATGCTGAGGGATTTTTAGAAAAATCTCGAGACAGTCTGGGCTCTGGACCCCAATTAGAAAAACCGAGGAAATTATTTTACTTCTAACTAATTTATAATTTGAAGAATATTCTAATTTGATTTCAATTTTAATCATTTTCATATGACAGAATTAATTTTGTTTTTGTATCCCGTTTAAGAAAAGTAAGCGAAGCAAGGCACTTTGAAATTTAGGATAAAGTATGCTTTCAGTCTTTTAACTTTACATAACGTTTTATTTTGATCCTTTAACTTAAAAAATAAATTTTTAGTCATCTAACCTTGAAACTGTTAAGAAAAAATGATAATATTAAGAGCCCGTTTGAATTAACAATGAACAACTGTGATCTTAAATAATCGTGAATTTTATAAGTGATATTGGTTAATCATAATTTCTGTTTGGATTTTTTGTTTATAAGTGATTTTGAGAATTGTGATTATGTTTGGTTTTCATTTATTAAAATTACTTATAGATGTATAATTACTAAAAGGGATATGAAGTTAATAAAGTTGTTTATATTTAATAATAAATTTTATTAAATATAATTTAATAAATGACTTGAATATTTAAATATTATTTTTATTTTCTTAATTTAACGATGCTCCTCGAATCAAAATCAAATCAAAATATTTGCATCTCATTGTTTCAATCGTGTGTATTCATCCATCCAAGTTTTATCTGATTTTTTTTAAATGTCTTTTAGATAAAATTAAAAGAAAAACAGTTTCATATTGTATGCTTTTAAAAAAACAAATAATTAAAATAATAACCATTAGAATGATTATTAGTATGGCTATTTCCGGAAAAGATGTGCGTCAGGAGTGGATGGAATAGAGAGAGGCACCAAATAAGCAAAGGGTATATTAGAGAAAATTTAATTGCTGAAGATTGATTGAGATTTTTCAAGCGCATAAGCTACTTTTTGTTGCTTATCCTAAAAGTACAGTAGGAGGTTAAAATCACGATTTATCGGGATTTCATGAAAATTACCCAAACAACTCAAACGTGCTTCATAATCACTTGTTTGGATTTAAATGGACTTATTTGAGATCCTACCACTTAACCAAACAGGCACTAAACTCTTGAATATTGACAAAGCATTACTAACTACCAATACATTAAGTTTAACATTCAAAACAAGAATGACTATTACAAAAAATTATTATTTAAAACTAACAATTTTAAGATTAAAGGACTAAAAGTATATTTTTTAAAGTTAAAAAACCAAATAGAAATCTTTTATAAAATTAAAAATAAAAAACAAATATATACTTTAGCTTAAAATTTATATCATTTTGATTTCATCCCAAAAAAGGGGGATCAGAAATCGTGTTATATTGGCATGGATGTCAGTATTTATATTTTTTATTTTTGACCGCATTAAAATATCAATCAAAATACTAAATCAATCGTTTACTATAGCAATAATCAAATATAAATGACAAAATGACCCTTTAAGAGAAGAAAATTAGTAGATACTTCTCTACTACTAAATGTAAGATCTAATTAACTAATTTTAATATATTAAGGATGCTAGTTAAATTAGTTAATATGATATTTTTTTCTAAAATATCCAATCATCTTCCTTAATTCTCTCCATCTTTCTCCTACTTGATTATTGTTGATGGAATATTAATATGGTTAATTTAAAAAAAATTGATAAACATGTTAAATAAGTCTTATATATAGAATCAACATTAACTCTCAAATTATGTCCTATATTAAGGACAAGAGGAAAATTAACTTATTTAAATACTTGTATTAAAATATAAAAGTAATGCCATATTAAAAATATTCATGAGACTTTCTTTTTTACATGAAAAATATAACATTATTATGTTTTGTTATTAAAATTTAAATCAATATGGACAATTGGAATACTTTATTATTATTATTATTATTATTATTATTATTATTATTATTATTATTATTATTATTATTATTATTATTATTTTGCTTTACACACAGATTTAACAAACGGACTTTTTGAATTTAATATTTTAATATTTTAATATTTTTACATTTTTATTTTTATTTAGGTAAAAATATATATTTGATTCTTTATCATATTGCCCCTTAACTTTAAAATGTATTTTTAGTTCTTTATTTCTAAAATCATTAGTGAGAATATTTTATTATCATTCAAAATTTTAACATTATCTTTTTTTATAATTTTAGAGTAGAAGGACTAAAAATATATTTTTTAAAATTATAAAATAAAATTAAAATCTTATATAAAATTAAATCACCGGCTAGATGTCAATATGGATTGGGTCCGACGAGTCAGAAGGCATTAGCCCTGTGCCTTCAGGGAAATAAATAGATGCGGATGTTCTTCTTATTTGGCTGGTACCAAAAAACAAAAGAAAAAAAAAGCTGTTATCCATGGTGAAAAGCTAATAATTTTTTAAATTTAAAATGAAAAAGAAAATTTAAAGAGTGGGCGTATGGCACATATAATTTGAGTAGTGTCTCCCAATTTCCATTTTTTTGCAATATTAAATGGCCAGAGAAAAGCAGCTAGTATGCCTCTCAAAACTAATTAGTAAAATAGACTATCAAAAAGATTTAAAAAATAATCTTGTATTGCCAAATCGGATAGTCACTTTTCAGAATAACTTATTAAAATATTTAATATTCCACATATAGACTTGAAACATTAATATGACCAAATTTTATTGTTCGGTGCACAACTTCATTGGTACGTAAAACATTTTATTGTTTGTCGCATCAAACTCATGTCATGCCAAAAAAAAAAAACCACCAGTTACAATAAAAGTACAAAATAAATATATATGAAACATACGACTTGAAAAAACAACCTTAAATTTCAACCAGCGAGTACAGTTAAACTTTTTTTGCCTTAAAAAAAGCAAGTCTCAAATTTTTCCGTCATGAACACAAATAACACAACTTGGAGTAGAGCGACTAACCTTTTTGTATCATTTCAAAAGACATTGATGAATAACTCGTCAACAAGATTCCTTGACTCATTATTCTCACCTTTTTTCAAAACAGCTATAATAAGTGCTTTAAAAGCTACAACATCAGGTCCTCTTTCTTTCATTTTATAGAGCAAGTATTTATTAAAATTCAATAATTTTTTAATTTTATTTCTATTTAATATACAATATATTACGTAAAAAAAAAGTTAACATAATAATAAATAAAAGATAAAACTGCATATTCAAATAAAAATTCTATAAATAGCACTAGAGGAGTACTTATCAATTATCACTTGATCCTTGTACTTGAAAAAATTGATTAACGTGATTTAGATATTTTCAAGAGGGGGAGGGGGCAGAAAGCAGGCCACTGATCTTCAATCCTGTGAAAATAAGAAAAGCTCATCAAGATGCTGAAGGAAGCAATTGAACTGAATCCCTTATAAATAATATGTCTATAGAGCCGTATAGCATCATGCAATTTATATAACTGAATCCATTTAATGAGGTAAGGCAAGGCAAGGCTGATTATTGTGGTTACCCAATCATGCCTGATGCCTCTATAAGTTCAACAAAAATTAAACGGAAAAGCAGGAATGCTTCCTTGAGTTACTAGAGTGCCTTAGGCTTGTTACTACCAAAACCATTAACATTAAAGCTTACTTGGAAGTGACAGCTTCTTAATGACCACTCATGCTCAAAGCTGTCACTCGTACATCCAATTTCCAACGTTGATGACCATGAAATAGATGCTTGTACAAAAACACACAGTCAAGAAGAGGAGGAGGAAGAGGAAGCCAGGCTAAACCCAAAAATAAGTCCTTGAACCAACCCTTTTATATGCTTATCCAATAGAACCAAGGTATCAAATAGTATATGAATGTAATTTGTCAAGACTTAATAAGGCTCCCAAGAAAGAAAAATAACTACCAACAAGTCCTAATGACAAGTTAGAAGTTGTCATTTTCCTCTCTGAAACTTGTCATTACAGACTGTTTAGGTTTTTATTGAGATTTTTTAGTAATTATGTTTCTTTTACGGGACTTGATTGCAATTCTCCCAATTTTTTATTACAAACTACGATGCTGATTACAACTTAACTTGTAGACTAAAGAATCAAACTGCAATACAAACAACAATCTCTTCAAGATCTTTTAACACTAAAACCTTGTACCATTTATTAACAAAATCCATAAAAAAAACAACAGGCATTCTGTATCACGTTACAACTGTCATACAATGACTGCATGCATTCACCCTCTCAGAGCTCAAACCTATCAACAATTTTTCACCACCTCTTCTCAAACTCATCATTTGTCCTTTAGATGTATTTTTCAAATTCTGGCACAAAATTCTCATGTTGCTTAAGTACACGAGCCAGATTTTCAGACACCTTCACTAATACACGCCATAAGCACGTAGAGTGATGAGCATTAGGAAGAACATCTAAAATAATTGTCTTTAATGTCTTGTCAAGATCAATGATGACCACTTCTGGAGCTTGGCGACCAACTGCTTTCTGCCAAGAACAAGCAGCAGCACGTTCATCTGATATTAAGGCACAACCAAAGTGCAGATTTGCTCCAACAAAAACCACAAGTGGTAACTTATATATTTCTTTCTGACATAGATGCGTTTGCAAAACTAATGAAATTAAGCAACTAAAGGTGAGAGTGGAGAGGAATTATTAGAGTGAAGTACGTTTGGTGCTATGATTTGATGGAATTACTATAGAAAGGAGAGGAATTCTAGGTGTCATTTTGGTGATAGATGCTCATGACTGTGAGTGCGGTGCATCAAACTCATGTCAAGCGGAAAAAAAAAAAAACGTAAAACCAAAAGTAATATGTATATATATATGTATGAAACATATGACTAAAAAGATATTAAATTGCAATCAGCCAGTACAGCAAACAAATTTTTCCCAAAAAACAAATTTGTCAAATCCTTTCACCATGAACACAACTAACACAAATTTGGAGTAGAGTGACTAACCTTCTTTTATCATTTCAAGAGACCTTGATGAATAATTCGTCAATCAGAATCTTTGCCTCATCATTCTCACCTTTCTCCAAAAGAGGCATAATAATTGTTTCAAAAGTTAAAACATTAGGCGAGCACCCGTTCTCTTGCATTTTATGAAACAAGGCCTTTGCTTCATCATACAAATGCTCTTTACAAAGTCCTTTGATCATAGCAGTGTATGCTTGGACATTCAAAGGACGACTATTAACCAAAAGATGTTGGAAAATCTGTCGTGCATCGTTTAATCTGTTGCCCTCACACAAACCATCAATAAGTATGGTATATGTGTAAGTATTAGGCCGAATTCCTTGTTTAACAATTTGCCTGAATAATGAAATTGCCTGGTCAAGATGGTGACTTTTGCACAATCCGTCTAACAAGGTACTATAAAATACTATATTTGGGGCACAACCTCTATCATGCATCTCATAAATAATATCTTGCACATCAGAGATTCTACCTGACTTGAACAAACCATCAACAAGGGAGCTGTAAGTGACAATGTCGGGAGTAAAGCTTTTACGGTGCATTTCTTTAAAGAGATTCATGGCCTCATCAACCATCTTCATTTTACAGAGTCCATTAATTAAAATGTTATAGCTAATAACACAAGGAGCCAAACCACTTTCGACCATCTTGTTGAACAGTCTTTTTGACTCAAAAACATTATTCATCAAACAGTACCCTTCCATTAAACTGTTGTTAGTAACATCATTAGGTTTTTCACCGCACTTCATCATCGTGGCAACAATAGCCTCAGCTTTAGTCATACTTCCTTCCTTACAAAATGCATCGACCAATATACTAAAAGTATAAACATTAGGGTTGATGTCTTTAAGTCTCATCTCATTAAACAATTTTACTGCTTCCGGCCATTTATCCATGACACAAAAACCATGTATGAGAGAGCTGTAGGTCACGACATTAGGAGATATTCCACGATCAATCATTTCACAAAATAAATCATAGGCTTCAGTTATCAGTCCCTCTTTGCAAAATCCATCAATAATCATATTATACATCACTAAATCAGGCTTAACTGGCCTTCTCGTCATCTTTTGGAGCAATTTAACGGCAACTCTCGTTTTGCCGGCCTTACATAGTCCATTTATCATTGTGCCATAGCTAACTACACCTAACTGAAAACCCTTTGCTATCAAATCATCATGAAAATCTAGGGCCTTTCCAACGTCATTATTGATGCAAAGGCCCTTCATAAGTGTGGTCAAAGAAATCGTATCTGGCTGACAGCCCATCTTAAGAATCTTGCCTAAGGCAGAGAAACCAAAAGTCATTTGACCCAAATGACAGTAACAATTAATCAAGATGTTCAGCGTTACCAGAGATGGCGTGAATCCCTTAGATTCCGCTTGTGCCAAAAGGGAGATAGCTGTAGGATATTGTTTCAACCTCGCAACATATCCTAAGATCTTAGTGATTTGGAATATAGAGGGGGGGCGCACATGAACCAGGTGATTAAAAGAAGAGATAGCCTCTTCAATATTCTGAGGATTTGTAGAATGTAAACAGAGGCGGAGGGTTAGGGCATATGAAGGAGATGTAAGGAAGGTAGGCGTAGAAGCTGCAAAAAAAACAGGAAATCGGAAGAAGAGGTACCGTGAAGGAGCTCTCGTCTTCAGTTGCATTCAGAAATTCAGATCCTTCAGCTAAGAATTCAACGAGGAAGACTAAGGGGCTGTTTGAATAGAAACTAAATTATGGTTTCAGAAGTGCTTTTACGGATTACGAAGTAAATATATAGAGGAGGTTACTTCGTTTTGCGAAAAAATGATTCTGAAACCTAAATTTTGATTTTGCCAAACATCCCCTAAGTTCTTGCCACCAGCGACGCATCGAAATTTTCTTCGGATAGGTTCCGCCTGTTTTTGTTTTTCGCCATAGATGATTAAAATTGAAACCAAATTGGGATATTTTTAAAATTAACCAACAATAAAATTGAGGTAAAAAATTAACTTATAAAACTTAGGTTGGGGGAAAAAAAATATAAAACTTAAGCAAGGAAACCAAGGCATTTTATTTATATCGTTGTCAAAATAAATTATTATTTGTATCATTTGACTTCATTCAAAAGGAAAAGGGGGTGGGGATCGATTGACATGGATGTCTCTGCCTTTTTATTTTTGGCCACGAGATATATGTGCCTATATTAACATTAAAATTTCAATAAAAATGAGATTAAATAAGTTAAATAAATTATTTAATTATAATTTATATTATATGATCTATATGAAATATTTAAATGTATCATTAGATTATATATTTTTTTGGGTTAATATTAGATTATATGTTTATGATCACATATTATATACTACTTTCTGTTTTCAATATAAAAACTAATTTACTAAATAAATTAGTCAGGCTACTAATTTGTTATGAGTAAATGCTTTTTTTAAATAAACTTGCTGTACTGTTAGCTAAAGCTATCAATTGGTGAAACTCTTAATGTGTATTACTACTATTACTACTATGATAACTTGTAATTCAAAAAAAAAAAAACTACTCTAATAACTACATTAGAAAAATAGCTAAATATGAGAAAGATAAATTATATTAAAGTTTTATATTTAGGATCAATTTAAAAATCAAATTAGTTCTTATATTAAGAATCAAGATAGTATTTGTTTATAATTTAAAAAATTTGGTTTGAAAAAATAATAAATATAAATATTTAAAAAATAATTTATTTAATTTTCTCAATCTTTTTAAATAAATTAACTCGAATATTATATTAAAGATCCAAGTTAGTATAATTGAGAGTTTATCTTAGCAATGGTAAAGTATAAATAACAAAATAACTCTTTAAAAGGACAAAATTATTAGATATCAGTAACTTATTTAAATACTCGTATCAACCACATATTTTTCTATCAACACAACATTATGGTTGGCAAAAAATCAACACAACATTATGGAACCAGAAAAATACAAAAGTGGCACATTATTACATAATAGTAATGATATTTCCTTTTTTTTAGCTGAAAATCTAACTTTATTCTGTTTTGCTACTCCTCCAATCCTTAATATAAGACTCATTTAACTAATTTGATTAGATTAAGAAAATTAGGTAAGTTAGTTCATTATAAGAAATTTGACATGTTTTTCCTAAAATACCATAATTATCTTTCTTAATACCCTATCTTCCTCTTCTACTTGATTATGGTTGAGGGAGTATCCATAAGGGTAATTTAGAGAAAATTGATAAATATGATAAATGGATTTTATATTTAAGATCAAAACCAACTCAACAATTAGATCCTATATTAAAAACAGGAGGAGTATTAAAATTTAAACCACTATGGGCAATTGGCTGGATGAGCACAAAGATATACAAATACTCTCTAATCTTAGATGCAAGACAACTTCACCGTCAAACAAAAAAAAAGAGAAACAAACATTAGATAGTTGCTGAAAATAGTGTTTCTATCAAAGAAAACTAATTGCAGGAAGATCATATGCATCCGCATAATATATTAATGGGTTTATTGTAAGTTTCATTGATTAGAAAATTTATCTCTATATAACATGAAACTTAGAGTTATTAATAATCTAATAATCTATTAATTAATTGATCTATATAAAAGTAAAGTACAAAGTAGAAGTTATTAGTAACAAGGCATCACCTATGAGTAGAAAATATTCTTTTTTTCTTCAAAAAAAAAAAGTCATATTTTTCACCCATTTTCTACCTATGTTTCTAAGCTAGTGTTTGGTTGGGGGGTTTTTGGAAGGGAGAGGAGGAAAGGGAAAGAAAAGAAAAGGAGTAAATGTGTTTGGTTGGGAGTAGGGAGAGGAAGGGAGGGAAAGTAAAAAATTGTCTTTTTCCTCATCCCTCCTCTTCTCTACCGTCCCTCCCAAATTGAGTGGTTTTGAAGAGGAGAAAAATTTTCTGTTATATCTTGACTAAGTTATTCATACTAACTTTTCAATAATTCAATATTTATAATTTTTGATTAATTCAATTAATTCTAAATTATTGCGGAATTTATTGCAATTATCCCAATAATGAGTCTTATTTTTTTCTTTTTTTTTTGTAAAAACCAAAATACCCTTTATCTACAAATATTTTAAATTGAGAAAAATAAATAAAATGATATAACTTCTCTAATCCCGAAAATCATGGTATATACACTGGCCATGATATATGTTCAAAATTTGAAATTTGTATTAATTTGATAGTATTTTTTAAAATTAATTATGCTTGAAATTTAATTTCGGTCAGTCTATTGATGTATTGAAAATAGTATCCTATGCCTTAAATCTAAACTATTGTTTATACCTAAAATATTTATTATTTTTTGTTTATAGATTATTCTGAAAGCTAATTCAAATTATTTTACTTTTGATATTTAGAATTAAAATTTATTTTACAATAAAATAAAACATTAATTTTTAGAAAAACAATCTATGCCTTTTATGAATTAGCTTAATAAAAAAAAATACAAGCTTAAATATATTAGTTGAGATATTTTGTTCATTAGTATTACAAAACTTTAACAATAGAAACTACTCAATTTCTTAATATATTGAATAGTGAACTTATTTTATATGTTATACGATATTTGTCTGTTAGTAATGATCTTAAATACTAAATTTCCTAATTACCATTTTGATAATCAACATATTTTATGTTTTATATTAAATACCTAATTCAATCTTAACTCCATAAGGAATAAGGATTTCAGGAGGGAGCAACTAGTGTGCGTCTCATGTTTGTGCATGGTGGGGGATGGTAATGGGGGATATGACAGTTATTCAATTATCACAGTCATCTAAATACCCATTAATGTTGCCGTGCATACTCCTCCTTTTCCTCTTTCTCATGGATGATGAAGATGACAGGGCTATCTGTTACAAACCACTGGCACAAGATTACATTATAAGTCTTATTTTATTATTCTCCATGGTGGTGGCCATGAGGCTCCATTTTTACATGTAGCTAAGAAGATGACAATAAAGGCTTTGTTGCCTCATTTTCAATTAGGACAGGTTAGCCTTGCTCTTGTTTGAGTTAACTAATTGAATGCTTTTTATTTTTTTTTCTTGATATTCCATTATCATTGTGATTGAATGAGTTAGTCACTAGGTAGGGTGGATAGGCCTATTTAGAAGAAGCATGGGATGCTATGCATGTTATAGAGTTAGTTTCCATTAGTTGTTTTACCTCATTGGCTCATCATCATCATCTCTATCTTGAATATTTATAGATCCACATCCTAACTTTTCAATGCCTTAATGAAGAGGATAGGAGGGAGCTATAGATCCAGATATAGAACACTGTCTTCGAATCTATGGATGGTGAAAAGGAGATGGCATGTTCATCTAGCCTATAGGTTTCTGATTTTTGTTCCATATTTTGTTTTGTTTTGACTCCTCTCTCTCCTCTTTTTTCATTGTTGTAGTTCTTTTTGTCTCAAGTGTTTTTTCATATTTCCTTTCCATTATAATAATCAATTCATGAATTTAGAATATAGTATCCATTTCTCAGAAATTGCATTTTACTCCTTTTGAGGTGATGACCATGATAGTGGTGGAGGAGAAGTTGCTGGGAATTGATAGAAGGAGAGAGGCATAGGTACTATTAAGTTTTTAACAGATAAGAATACTAAGAAGGTTATGCTTGTGATGAGATAGTCAAAAATATTCAAGCATCCACTTGTGTTGTGGAGTAACCTTGGTTCTTACTCTATTTTCATCATACTTTAGCCCTTTTTTTAAAATGAAATTTGAGTATCATTCTATGTCATCCAATTGCTTGGATATTTTAACATTTTAATATGTGAGTACCATATCATTGATTAGCTTGAGATATTGATTTTTTGTATTTATATTATGATTTTGTATTATAATATTCCTTTTAAGAGATTATATGATTTTTGAAGTTTTGTCTTGCATAATTGAATACAATGCTACCAAAGCATATCTAGCATACATTTCAAGTGTTGGTTTGCAACCCTAGGCTATTATTGTAGTTCTTTCCTATATTTCTTCTGCCTTCATAAAATATTTCTTGAATATGAATATTTTAATATTGTTTTGATAGTTTTATATTATTTTCAGTTTATATTATTAGTTCTTGATTTAGAATCTCCTTTTGATTTTTAATAGGAATTACTTATTTGCATGCTATAGAGGCAATTCTCTTTGGATGGGGTGTCTAAGCATGAAGTTATTATCCATGACAATCACTTTCAACTTATGGGAGTACATCTTTGTGTGACTTTCAAAATATTTTAACTCACTAACCATTTTGTCTCTATTGATTCAATCTTTTTAAAATGTTAGATAATAGACTTACATATATTACATATTTCAAAGGCTTATGAATACTTTATTCTTAAATTAAGTTGAAATTATGACTTGAAATAGAAATGTAATATTCAACTAATTATTTTGTGGTGATTCAACTTTTTATCTTATATTAAAAAAAACTACCAATTCGTGCCCGTGCAATGTACTAGTTTAACAAAAAATACTTCAATTAGTTTAAACTGTCTTTTTCATACACATACACAAATGAATGATGATCAGAAAAATGCCTAGTATACATAAGAGGATAAGTTATAAATTCATCCGCTAAGTTTCTACTCAAAAGAACCAGACATCTAAATTTTTTTTTTGGGCTCAA